TCAATTGGTTGGTGGCTTTCTCCCTCGTCATGGTGGTGGTGGGCCGATTTATTATAAAGTTTATTTTGATTGAAATGGCAGCATGGATACTTTTCATCTTTCTAGAGACCTACACAAGGATGTTCTGGTCAGCAGAATCTCTTTATTACAACCCAGTTTGGCATTTCGTTGTCGCCACTTGGGAAACCCTCGTTTACAGCCCAATCCTTGACTTGGACAGGTAACAGAACCTCTTCTTCTCTGCACCTTCACACACCATTTACCGGCAAACCTTGAATGTCTTTGATTGGCATGTTAAGTTCTTTTAATGGCTTGTTTCTGGGAAAAGCAGAGTTGGCTCTTATTACTTGTGCAATTTTCCTGGAATTTGCATTAGAAACAGTTGCATAGGAAGGCCTGTAAGTGCCTTTTATATACTCGTTTAATGCTTATTCATTTTTTTTTTTGGTGCGCCTCGGTTATTATTTTGCGACAGATGGGCTATTCCTCTTGGTTGTATAGCGGCTATAGGCATCTTTTACTGGCGGTGCTATGGTCGTAGGAAACACGGATCGCGGTGGCTTTTGCCGGTGTACAGCAACCATAGGAGTGGCTCAAATCGGCCACGATCAGAGTGATTCTGTGATGAAGCGATTTGTTATGCTACTTTCATCGGGGGGAGCTTTTCGTTTTTGTTGATTGAAGCCCAACCCAAGTCAATTTTTTCGTCTCGCTAGATGGTAACAGAAACCGAAACTTATGGAGAGAGGAAGATGGTGTTTCGATCAGCTGCTAATATAGTAGTATCTGCAACTGTACCATTTACACACATTATTTTGTATTAGTATTAATCTCATGTTCTGACTAATTCATAGTCTTTCTGTACATTTTATCTATATACATACTCCACTTATTGACATTCATGTAATTCCTTACCAAATTTGGAAAAGAAGAAGAATGAAAAATCTCTAAGTCTCCTTTCTTGCTTCCCTTATGTCTACAAATCTACACAGTCCAGAGTCATCATTAGGAAAATATAATGTTTTATATCTATACATTTTGTACATGGGAACAGAAATGGATCCTGTTGCCCTTTATATATATATAATAATTATGTATATAACTTCTGCTTTACTAAGAATTATTTAAACAAAAAAAAAATGAAAAGAGACGAAAAGGACGACAAGAAATACAGTTGAGGTTGGTGAAGTGCAATTATCACGTGATCATTATCAGTATACCTAAACATCGTATCTATATATATATATATATATGTATGTATCGTCTTCTCCGCTTGTTCCAGAAATCATACACTATACCTGACTAGCAATCTTTATCAACCTTCTCTGCGTTTGTGAGTGGAAAGATGGGATCAATCGCTCAGCGTTCGGCTCTCATACTCTGCGGCGACTACATGGAAGATTTCGAGGTCGCCGTGCCATTTTATGCCCTTCAAGCTTTTGGAGTCCGCGTCGATTGCGTCTCCCCCAACAAGAAGTCCGGCGATAAATGCATCACTGCCGTTCATGAATTCCTAGGCTTCGAGGTTCGTCATGCTTCTCATATGTCCTCGTTCATCAATCATTTCACTGTAGTTTCTTGATTACAAGATAATTATAACTCAACTCTTCGTTTCTGATCAGTTATACACAGAATTGCCGGGACATAAGTTCGAGTTAAACGCCAATTTCGAGGAAGTAAAACCAGAATCCTACGACGCGCTGATTATACCAGGTGGACGTTTCACGGAACTGTTGAGCGTAGACGAGAAATGTTTAACCGTGGTAACCAAATTCGCAGAAACAGGGAGGACGATTCTCTGTACTTGCCATAGCCAGCTCATGTTAGCCGCTGCTGGGGTTCTGAAAGGCAAGAAGTGCACTGGTTTTGGCAGCATGAAACCCGTCATCGAGCTTGCCGGCGGTACTGTTAAAAAACTGCTAAGAGATAAGAGTGATTCAAAAAATTATTTTATTGAAAATAGGAGGAAGATGAAGGAAAAACTGTTTTAAAAACCGAGACTGAAACTTAGAAAATTTATATTGAAATCTAATTCATGTAAGATAAAGAATTTTTAAATTATCGCAAATTATTATTTCTAACAGGTACTTGGTGGGAACAGTCTGGAATTTCATCAGTTCTTGACATCACTGCTTGTCTTGAAGACGGTAATATCTTAAGCTCCATTGGTTGGCCTGCCCATGGCGAATGCCTTAATCTTCTCTTTCACTCAATCGGAGCCCAGATCTCATCACCCACGGATACCACCATTTCTGTACTTTTCCTTTGTGGGGTATCTCTGATTTCTCTCAAAACATCCTATATATATATATTCAAATTTGATGTTAATTACAGTATGGACTGAAATTTGGGCATGTCTTCTACTGTAGGATTACGTAGAAGACTACGAGTTCAACGTTCCATTCAGGGCATTACAGGGTCTGGGTTGCAGGGTTGATGCTGTGGCACCCAAGAAGAAAAGAGGAGAGACGTGTGTGAGCTCCATTTATGTTGATGAAGGAGGGGAGATACCCATCGAGAAGAGAGGTCATAATGTGTATCTAACGGCTGATTGGGATGAAATCAAAGTGGATGATTATGATTGTGTGGTGGTTCCAGGGGGGAGATCTCCTGAGTTGCTGATCATGAACTCGGAAGCGATTTCCATGGTGAAGAAATTCGGGGAGAAGGAGAAGATTATTGCTGGTTTTGGCCAAGGACAATGGCTTCTCGCTGCTGCTTCTCTTCTCCAGGTTCGTGATTCATTGATTATCTATATATATATATATATATAACTTCATATTTAATATATATGTGTATATGGGTATTTATATACTGTAATGAATAGGGGAAGAGATGTGCGAGCAGCCATGGGATGAAAGTTACAGTGGAGTTGGGTGGTGGGAAAGTTGCAGAGACGGAAGGATGCGTGAGGGACGGGAAGCTGTTGACCGCTGCTGGTTACCGTCAACTTCCTGCCTTCGTTTTCCATCTCGCCAACCTTCTTGCTTTTTCCGTTGTCTTTTGAGTTCTCATTTTTTATATTATATATATATATATATATACACGTATCTACATACATAATATATATATATATATATATATACAGATAATAATTTACTTTTATCTATTTGGGCTGAATTGTATTATTAATAATGAGCATGCATCACTTAGTTATTACAATAATTTTTCTTGTTAATCATCATTTTCACTTAATTAGACTCCATATACATAATACGTTGATTTTAAAGCAAAGAGGTCGTAGTATCCGGCCTCTTTGCTTTTTTTTTTTTTTTTTTTTAATATTATAGATATATATATGCACACACAAATTAAAAATAGTGTCATTTGTAATTGGTTTAATACATCTTAATACATATATATATATTTTATTTAATATAAAAATCAATTAAAATATAAAAAAAAAACTAGCATTGATATTCTATAGGCTTTTACTTAAAATTAATTTATTATTCATAAAAAGGCATTAATTATTATGATAAAATGGAGTTAATTATTGAAATTTATATTTTTAAAAATTAAAGGGAATTACAAATACCACCTTTTATATTCTACCCATATCTATTAAGTATTTTATTTTGTATTAAAAAATATCTAATTCTATAGTATATAATGTATTATATAAATATTTTTCTGAAATTAATATAATTTGATTAATATTAAAAGAATATAAAAACAAGAAGAAAAATAAATAAATGAAATAATTATTTTATTAAACTTTACTAAATTTTTAATTTTTAATTTTTAATTAAAAACGTCGGGCGAACGAACGGTCGAATCCACGAGCTTTCTCTCCGACACGTCGGAAGTTAGTTTCGTCTGGCGGATCTCATTCCCCCTTAAAGAACCAGAAAAACCCTAATCTTGCAATCAGCCGGTCCAATGGACACTCACTCCTCTCATCTAACCGCGGCGAACCGCTCTCGCAGCTCCCAAACCCCTTCCCCTTCTCACTCCGCTTCCGCATCCGCCACTTCCTCCATTCACAAGCGTAAGCTTGCCGCAACAACTGCCGCGAGCGCAGCCGCCTCCGAGGATCACGCACCTCCTTCCTTCCCTCCCTCGTCATTCTCCGCCGACACGCGCGACGGCGCATTGACGTCAAATGACGATCTTGAGAGCATCTCCGCTCGTGGCGCCGACTCCGACTCCGATCCTGACGAGTCCGAAGACGCCGTCGTCGACGAGGAGGAGGATGAATTTGCTCCGGACCAGGACAATGACTCTTCTATTCGAGCGTTTACGGCCGCTCGATTAGACCCTGGCTCTGGCACCGGAGGTGGTGGCGCGGGACGGAACACGAAGCTCAAAACAGAGAACTCCACGGTGAAACTTGAGAACTCTGATGGCGGGAAAGAAGGTGGAGACGGCGGGCCCGGCTCGGTGGGACCTGGAGCCCTTTTAGCAGGTAGCTCCACGCCGGGTACTGTGGTGAAGGACGACGCGGTGAAGATATTCACGGAGAATCTACAGACAAGTGGGGCTTATAGTGCTCGAGAAGAGAGTCTAAAAAGAGAGGTAAGTCGTTTACCATTGAATCCTGTGGACATAAACGGGTTCTTTTTCTCTTTATAAAATTCAATTGACGAGCTTAATGAATGGTATTGGAAAGTAATTTGTTTGATAATGGTATGTAGTTCATTGCTTAGGAGAGTGTAAAAATGAATGGAATAGGTTTTAGAGGTCAGAAGGTTTTCCTCGTTGATTTTCCCATTGAGAAACTGTACTTCCTCCTTGGGTGCATATTCCCTTGGTTTACACTCTTTCTCATGTTATGAATTTAAGCAGTTGGGAATTCTATTTTCAGGAAGAAGGAGGACGACTCAAGTTTGCATGCTATTCAAATGATGGTATTGATGAGCATATGGTTTGGTATCCGATTCTCTTACCTTGGCCTAGCTTCCTCCATTACGTTTTTTTAACGAACAGTTATATTAGGCTTCTTTACATTACTTAAAGCGTATTCTAGTTTTTAGTTTCCAAGTAACGCATTATTATGCGTAAAAACATGTAGGGCTATTAAAAGAAACTAATATGTAAGAAATGTTTGTAGAAAATAGGACGCATTTTGGAAAGAATTAAAAAATAGATTTTATTGTTCTTATGGAACTGATTCTGTTGTTAATTAGATCACTTCATAAATACACTTTACTATGTACTTTATGAATAAACACATATATTTTTACATAACTTGAAGTGCTTTGTGGACCAACAGAACTATAGTTTTCATTTTTTTTCTCCCAGAGACTAGATTCCAAAAATGCTATAAGAAACTTGTGGTTTTTGTTTACCGTGGAACTTATTGCATTAACTGTATAGTGTTTTGCTTCTCTTTGATGGAGCCTTTCCTGATAGTGCTCTCTGCGCAGGCTAGTGAACAATGAAAATTTTATTTGATGGTTAAGATCTTTAAATGACAATTCTACTATCAAGTTGTTGGGAAAAATTTCACACCCCTTTAATAAAATAAAGGAGGGACCAACAGCGAAAAAACTAATGTGGTCTGGCCAATTAACCTACGATCTCAACCCCTTGCTCTCTCAAACATACAAAAGCAAATTTCTTTTTCTTATATTCTAGTTCCTTGCTCTGATGCCATTCTCTCAAGATACCCAGTATTTCTTTGTATACTCCTTTCTTCTTGGTGTCTAGATAACAAATACTCATCTTCTTCATTATTTTGAAAAAAAAAAAGAATACTCAACTTCTTCAGCACTTCTCTCTTAGTTGGGCACTCACTTTCACTGCCATTTCCACATTTTAGAGCAAATATCCTTCTCAATCTATTCTTCACTATTTATGGAGGCAGTAAACATACACCTCCAAATTTTTCACTCTTTCAACTACTACCAACTACGAATGATCAATTAATTTATTATCTCAACTTTTACCAACCACTAACCTCATTTACACTCTGTTATTTGTCCCTCGAAAAAGTTACCTCTCTTAATTTTTTCTTTGATGATCACTAGTGATCTGAGTTTAATATCTGACTTTATTTCTGCCTATTCAGGCTTATAGGGTTGAAGAATATATTTGCAAGACAGCTGCCTAACATGCCTAAGGAATACATCGTTCGGCTTGTGATGGATAGGTAATACGATTTCATCTTTTAGGTTATGTGGCTCAATTCCAATTCTTTAGTTTCCATATTTGTTCTAATATGCACAATTAGAATGTCATTTGTTGTTTCAAGGTTTTTTCTTCAGTGAACTTTGTTGTATTAGGTTAACATACCCCAAGTTAGATTTCTTGATGGTTAATTTTTTTTTGAAATACTTGATGGTTAGAATTTGATTCCTTTATTTCAAGGTGAGAGCTGAATTCCCACAATCAAGGAATTCAAAGTTGTGGTAGTAACTCAAACACAACAGAGTTATGTTCTAATTATGTGTATAAAGATGAATATAAAAATTACAACTAGGAATTGGCTAGGAGTTTAGTGAGAATTGAACTAAATGCAATGTTAATGAAGTTAGAATAATGTTTTTCATTCTTCTTAATTCCCTTTTCCTTAAATTCTAATTTAGAACTAAATACACGTTCATAGGAGAAACAATGACTGGTCCTAAATAGCCATGAAATTTCGGGGCAAATTTTTTCATGGTATTTGCTGAGAAATTCCATGTCATCCTAGACAAGTTGAACCTCATTAGTTTATCACGTTCTGGGAGTAAATGGATGTGATCTAATTCCAAGGAAGGTCTTTCTTTTCTGATACTAGAATGCTTTATCATTTCTACATCTTGTCAAGTCCAAAGACCGGACCTTTTGCAGAAAATGATGCAATGCACTCTTTCTGACCACTTCCCAAAATGCTTGGAACTGAATGGTATTAGTAGGGAACCATCACCCTTGAGATTTCGAAACAAATGAGTGGGAAGGTTTCTCTGACAAAATCAAGGGCTAGTGCAATGAGATGGAGGTAGAGTGTTTTGCCAGCTTCAAGATGATAAAGAAATTGTGATTGCCAGCTTCAGTTCCTATAGATATTTTTAAATGAGTTCATATTTCAAAAGAAAAGATATTTTTAAATTAGTTGAAAGTTCGAATCTTGGCGCACAATTTCAAGTATGAATAATTGTTGTGTTTTGTGTAGCTGCTATTTATGGTGATGATAGTAGTTGAGTGGCCTTCCATGTTTTTCTGATAATTGATTTCAAAGAAAAAAAAAAAAGTCTTTCTGATAATCCAATGATATGCTTTTACGTTTCCAAGTACTCACGTATGTTTCTCTACTTTCAATTGACAGAAACCATAAATCTGTAATGGTCATCAGACGAAATCAGGTAGTTGGTGGCATCACATATCGTCCATATCATAGGTGAAGTTCATATTTCTGTTGTCCCTTTTAGTCCTTTTTCATAGCATGGTTCTTATGTTCTGTAAACTGTGTAGAGGAGAATCTTTTAACAAAACAAGTAGATCTAAGATTCTAGTATTTTATTTAATCCTAATGAGATGAATCCTATATGAACCAGCAACTTAAATTTTGTAGTTTTATGCTTCCTTTTATTTATAATGCAAGATGATATTTGGAAATTAGGTTAGTTGATTTGAGATATTTATGTGTTTTACTGAGACTCCTGTCCTTGAAAAACTGTAGCCAGAAGTTTGGGGAAATAGCTTTTTGTGCAATCACAGCAGACGAACAAGTAAAAGGTTATGGTACCAGGTTGATGAATCACTTAAAACAGCATGCACGTGATGTTGATGGTTTAACACATTTTCTTACATATGCGGACAACAATGCTGTTGGTTATTTTATCAAACAGGTTAGCTATCTATTCCTGATGTTGTCGGCTGGACCTTCTTTCCTTTCCTTGTTCATGCTAACTGAAATGTGTGCTTGAAAGAATGAAAAGCATATTTCCCTGAGCAAGATGCAGGAAGGGGGTGCCAACCCTGTATAAAATTTAAAAAAACTGAGATTTGGACCCAGACAGTTGATCCATGCACATGGGTGGCCATGTGGATGGATCCTAACTCGATAGGGTTACTTCTTATAATAATTTTGCAATTAGATTTGTTATGAATTCTCATTATTTGCATGTAATGTCTAACGAGTTCAAAAGAGAGTAAACTTTCACTTAATTGAATACTGACCTCAGTTAGGGAACTGGCTCATTATAGGGTAATAGGAGTTTTCTTATTTATTCCTTCTCTTAACGTCATACTATGTATGGAGGGTACTGCTCCATCATTTGGTAGCAGTAAGTGGTGAATATAGCTGTCATTACAGCTCATTTGTTCATTCTCATACAAGTATTCTAACAGAAAATGAAACAACTGATTTCTAGAACACTCCAGGAATTTAACGCCTTCATGCCACCGTCTGGTTCATGACAGCCTCTTGTAGCTGGAAACCACAAGACTAAGGTTTTGTCACGTTCTTTTAAACTCTGCTGCTACAAAGTGCTATCACATATCGGAAAACACTCTTAATACAGAACTCAAGTGCTACAGGTTTAGAGAAGGAAGATTTCTCTTGTTCTCTTAATTCTATTATGTCTCATATGTGCAATCACAAGACGGGTAGCGCCTCCAATCCATATACTAAATGCTAAAAGTTTAAAAGATGATGATTTGCTTGTTCTTTGAATTCCCGTGTCTCATGTTAGAGATTTAATGGATCTTTGATGTTGTCTCCTTTATAAATGTAAGAGAGTGGAAAGTTATTAGAGACAAATAACCAAGCACTGACATGTCAGTTATTTATATTCCTGGGTCTTATCAATGATCTGTCTAGTTGGTTGACCCACACAATAGTTGGGTACATGAATCCAAAGCCTTACATCTCTACTCATGCATGATGGTTGCTTTCTAAACATTTTACTATT